TGATTGATGCGCGCTTGCATGCCGCTCTACCTGCGACAGGCCAAAAGTTGGCTCGAGCGTCGCCGCGACGAGCCAGCCAGCCACCGTCGCAGTTGTGAGTTCTAATTGATGCATGCGCGTGGCGAATGAAGCACGCACGTGTGCATCGCAGCTGCAACTCACGACTTCGAGCACATGATGCCGCATCCTCAACGTTCTGCTTGACTTCTCATTTCGCGAACAGCAGCAGCAGAAGAAGAAGAGCATGAGAGCCGTCTTCACTTGTAGATTGCGTCTCTTCCAGTCGTGAGTACTCAATCCAGCAAGGGCGATGTACACGATGCCCGTGAGCGCAAGAGATTGCCGAGGTACATGTCGCGCGACTTGGGAGAGTATAGAGTCCAAGTTGACTCTACGAGAGACCGTTGCATGCCATTCCCCATCTCGGTGTCATGTACAAGTAGTGTAGGGCAGGGAAGCAAATTGAAAAGGCACATGTAGAAGGGTATTGAAGATTAGAGGATGCGGATAAGTATTCATTGAAACATGAGCAGATTCTCAGAGAGGATCCTGACGCAGGTAAAAGGTGCGCGCGATCAGCGAGTCTGTTCAACTGTTGGCGTAACGACCGGAGAAGCGTCGACCCATCCCTCTCTAGCCGATTGCGATTCTTGCCCGTACGAGTCGACGTTGACCTGTTTGCCAGTCGTGGAAGCGCGAGTAGCGGCGCCCATTAGCCTGCTCCACATGGTCAAGCCGTGCCTCCTCTTGCCGCCAGCCACCTGTCTTTCCGCAGCGCTCTGACGAGGAGCGCGAGTCAAGTGTTCTCTGGCCCAGTCTCGCTTGCCCATGCCCGCTTCGTGGTGCTTGAGCCTCAGAGAAATGCGCAGGAGCTGCAAGGCGTCCTCTGTATCCCGTCTGCCGGCCAGTGCGCTGGGAGGTGGCGTCTCGTCGCCCAGATCCATAGGTCCAAATCGAGCCAAAGTCTTCCAAGATGCGTGCTTGCCATACGGCTCAGCAACACCTCTTCTAGGCTTGATCGCGCCGTCTTCGTCCTTCTCGGGCGGTTCGAGCAGTCCAGCTTTTGCCGCTCTCCGCAGCATCTCGGCAGCTTTCGCTTCGTTGCGCGCTCGCCTCTTCTCCACTCGACGAGCTTCCTTTTCGAACTTTTTGTCCCACTGCCGCTGACCATCCAAGTATCTGCGCACTGGACCAGCTTTGAAGATCCCAATCTCATTCTTATCCATGCGCAGAGCCTGCAGAGCTGATTCGTCCTCGAGCGCTCGGACCTGTCCGCGGACGTCGACTCTTTCGCGGATGAACATTAGGTCAGGTCGCTATTGAAGTAGGAAGTGATGTAGTCAGCACCAACAAGGCAGACTCGCACGCACGCGCCCTCGTACTCACCCGAAGTGGGACCGCACCATCGTACTGATTGGTGCTGCCAAGCGTTACATTTCTTCGACGCTTCTGCTTCAGTTCCTGCTTGGATTGCACCGGTCCGTCAACAATCTCCGACCCAGAAGCCGCTGCCGCGTGCGCTTGCGCGTTTGCATTGGCGCTGCTTTGGCCATTGTTGAGAGCTGCGCTGGAGACAGGGGTCACTGTGGCAGGGGAATCCACTTGGTCACTGTCGCTCATCTGAAGCGAAGCGGAGGTGTTCAGGGGAGCCAGAGTTCGGGAGGAGCGCGATGAGGCGCTCGTGGTGATCGTGGAGGGAGGAGCGAGTGAAGAAGAGCCGCCATCGGATGGCGCCGATCGTCGTCCATTTTGTGAATCCGACTCAGAGTGGCTGCCTGCGGTCGAGTGCACAGGAGGATCGCTTGGAGCGTCGGATGCGCCTGTCGACGCTTCTTGGAGACGTGGAAAGGGGTTGATCGCGTTCGTCGGGGCGCCAGTGACATGCTTGACCATCGAACAAATGGCTCTGTAAGCGTATCGCGCAGAAGTCGTGAACGCAAACAGTGTCAAGACATGGCACTGCTCGTCAAACACTTGCAAATGCACCTTTGTCGGGCTGTTGTTGTACGTTTCCGCATTCTGGCGCGCGCGGGCATTCTTAGCGAGCAGACCGTCGTTGAGGGGATATTCGGCGGGCTTCGCAGCTCGGTGAGCGAGGTAGATGATTTCGTCTCGAAGCACCTCCGCGTCGCCCGCGAGTATGTAAAGGGGCGGTAGACCGCCGAGAGAACCTTGCAGGACCGGCGAGCAGAGTGGATGAAAGACCTGCTCATTGGTCGCGTACAGCTGCACTTGCGAGCGCAGCTCGACCTTTTCTCCATTCTTATCGTGACTGAGTGGCACGTACATTGGCTCGGCCTTCAAGTGCTTAGGAGGAGCGGGAATAGCAATGTCGTCTTCACTTGGCTTCGAATTTGCTTGTTCATCCTCATGGTTCTTTGGGCCCGATTTGCTGTTCGCAGAGGTCGCTGCCGCGTTAGCGGCTGTCCCACTTGTCTCCGCCTGGCCTGCCTCGGAGACTCCTGAAGGTACCTCGAGGTCTGGCGACCGGTGCGAATGGCCAATGTAACTCATCAGCCTTTCTTTTGGCGTGGTAGGTCTACTCTGCTGCGTCGATTCCTTGGGTATAGATGGCACTGGCCAAAGAGTAGAGGGCTTGTGGATGAAGCCATACCGCGGAATGATGTCGGTGTCCGTGTTCTGTAGGATGGACTCGAAACTGTGGGACATGTCACACCAGGGCGAGATCAGAATGGCCCCTGCAGGCGGGGGCAGATCCATATCCCGCAACACGGCAAGTAGCGCGAGAGCAAGGTTACCTCCTGCGCTATCTCCAGCTATCACCAGATTGGATGGATCCACAGCCTTGTGCTTCGCCTCGGACGGAGGCTTGGTGAGATAGAAGTAAGCAGCGAGAGCGTCGACGAGGGGACAAGGCCAGGGATAGCCTGGAGCCTTGCGGTAATTCGGCGCAAAAACTCTGCCGCCAAATTTGCGAGCAAATCTCACGAGCGAGAAGCGGTGCGTGTTTAGACTCCCAAAGTATCCTCCACCCCGTGGAAACGCGCAGAATGGAGAGGTGGTGGTCTTGGGTCAGCGCTGGCGCAAAAAGTTGGGTTCAGGGCCGCATACTCATCATGAATGTACAACATGACGCGCTTTAGCCTGTCAAATTCTTCGTAATTCTCATCTCCAAATTCTTCCTCATCGACCTCTATCGTCGGAGCTTGCTTGGACTCTTTCTGCTTGTGCTGTTGCTGTTCGCGTTTGCTGGATCGTTTCTTCTGCGTGTCTGCCCTCACGTGTCTCGGGTCGAGCCTCTTGGACACTTGGCGCCTAGCAGCCGCCAATTTGCGCACGGCGGGACCATCCGCCTTGGCATCGTGGGCCGAGTCTGAAGCCTGAGAACGTTGAGTATCCTCATGCGCTTTACGTTCCTCTGCCTCCTTCGCAAGTTTCTCGGCTTTCGTTGCCGACCTCCAATCAGAGGTCTGTGCTATCCACTCGGCCTCCACCCCGCTCAGTCCACGAACCTGCCACCACTTCTCGCCGCCGACCACGTTCTTGAGATCATCTGGACCAAAGTACTCGATGAGCACCTTGGCGGCTTGATCGCACGACGACAAGGGAATCAGGACGGGCACGCAGGTGGCCCATGGCTGAGATGGAACATGTGTGTTGGTACTGGGTGAAGGGAAAGGAGGCAAAGGGTATGGAGCTTTAGTCCAGCGCAAACATCGCCAATCAATACCCATCTCGCAGCCACAGTGGCGCATACACGCTGTCGCAGAGACTTGGACTCACAAGACTTGCAAGGATTCGACAGTGTCGTGCGTGGCCACTTCGATGAATCGCTTGACCAGAGCAAAAGCTTCGTGAAACAGGAACTCGTCCTTTGCCTCGGTGTGCCTGTCCTGCTTGTCCTTCTTTGCCTGCTTGTAGTAGTGACTGAAGAAGGTCTTGATGATTGTGGGAGTGACGTTGGCCACCACGCCAAATGTGGTGAGCGTCATCTGTTGTGTACAGGGCCGTTTGCTCGGGTCATGGGGTGCGCGCGACAGACGACTTCAAAACTTTTGGCAGGGTTATGGTCGTGGGTGGGGTAAGGATATTTGTTTGCTGTGGGATAATGATCGCAGGCGGATGATGCTGCTACGCTGCGAATCTCCAGCCCGTCGATGCTGATGGCGCGAAGATGCTCCTCGTCGACTTTGTTGGAGCTGCCGCTGGGTGGGCGCACGAAACCGGAGATGACGATCTCGAATGAAATCGCACATGCTGCTGCTGCCCGGGCGGAGTGCGAAGGCCGGTGGCCTTTTCTGCCTGCAAGTCCCTGATCCCGCAGAGCGCAGGGCGCCTGCAAGCGCGCTGCTGCAAAGGACCGCAATA